AAACGAGCAGGAGTGTTTTATTAGGTTTAAAGCCACGAGCGCGCAGCGCGAGTGGCTTTAGACCTAATAAAACACGACCTGCGAGTTTTTAAAAGGCTTCAAAAACGTTTGCATAATAAGTCAAATCTTTATATAAAAATCTTTATAGAAAAATCTTTATATAAAAATCTTTATATAAAAATCTTTATATAGTTCGCATAACAATGGTCTTTTGTTAAAGTGTTCTTTAGCTGGTATAAAGACGTATGCACGTGACTAATTTCTTACTCAGGATTGGATAATTGCTTCATGAATTATTAATGAGTTTTTGATGTTCAGGTAAAGCTCATCCAACGACCGTTTATAGATTTGCTTGAAGACAATTAGTTTTTCTACAGGATATGGAAATATAATAAATAATAGCAGTTTGTACTCATTTGTTTGATTTGACAGCAAATTTCACTACACTAAGTTCACTAATCATTATTTATCATTAACAAATTTTATTAAGCTCTTAGCGAATCAGAAGGCAAGTATTAATTAAAATGAATAATATAACGCTCATCAACTCGTACTTAGTAACATAGGCTGAAATTAATATTCTACCGTTATTAATACAGTTGATGTGCAAATGAAACAAACTATAATACAGCTGCAATGTATACTTACAATATTCAGGCAAGTGCAGTTGATAAATAATATTTCAGCAAGTACAGTTTCGTACATTTCGAATGTCAAAGGTTATAGCTATATATGAACATCACATCGCACATATCGAAATAAACGTTTAAATGGAAAATGGGTATTGGGTTGGATATGTCTTTGATTAATCGATCCTTTGTGTTCAACCTCTTTTTGATTGCATTCACTTGGAATTTTTCATGCTTTGGTGTTTCTCAGGCAGAAAACACGTGCAAACAAGAATTATTCAAACATGTTAAAGGTATGCAATTTCTCTCAAAACCTTGCATTGCAAACGATTGAAACTTTCCTTCTTTTCAGCTTCAGCTCTTGCGAAAATACATATGCATCGTCTAAATGGGAGCAAATGATTAAATAGTTCTTGACTTTATATTTGCTTTATAAAGAGAAATACCGTAAAAAGATTGTATTGCATTATAAACGAAATTATAAATGTATAAATGACCTTAAAACGGGGTTCGAACAGGGTATTTTATCAAACCGAATTTATGACTTCGAAAAGTTATTGGAAGCAAACGCCTGCATAATATTTGGCCGCTGACGCGCAATGCCCACAAATAGTTGAACTGGTTGAAATATTCTATATTATACACTGGAAAAATAATCATTATTGAGAAGTTTGACGAAAAATATTGAATATAAAATATGAGAACATTTGCTATTAAAATAAATAAATTTGAGTAACATCCGTCTATATTTTGAGTCGCAACGGGAGTATTATTTTACTAACATTTTTGAGTCAAAATTTCGTACAATGCAAACCCCCTCTAGTCGACATCAAATGTTATAATAGAGCTATGACATCTATAAAATTTCTGCTTTGAGAGGCAGTTTTGAAACGTGAAATTTCGCGCCGCATTGCGCAATAGCTTCTCGCAAGCGTTTTTCAAAAAGCAAAATTTAAAGGAATGGCCGTAAATTTTAGATCTGAAGGAACATAGTTATTGTATGCTCTTACTATAAATGCTCATGCAGATTCAATATCCTATGAGCAGGTGAAGCCAACATCTTAACTGCAGGCGAGTAGCCATGCAAGGCTGAACGCTTTGTATTTAGTAATTTACAATGTATGGTGCCTGTAACGTTTTATTATTTAAGACTTAATAGTTGCCATGAAAGCAAAGAAATTCTGCAGAGCATGCTCCTTTTCCGTATCGCGCTTCGTAAATACTGAAGAAACCAAAGTGGCAACTGAGAAAAAAAGCAGATGATTTTTTTAGTATTGGTTTAGTTCCAATAATTAGAAATTCGGTTTTCGCTACGTTCAAGCTCAGTTTGTTTACCGTGAGCCATTTCCATACACTTTCTAAATCCGAATTTACTGCATTTTCAATATCGGTTAAACACTCACTAGCTGCTGTGATATTAGTGTCATCAGCAAACAGCCGGGGTTTTGTTTTATTTAGACATATATGTAAATCATTAATATAGAGCAGAAAAAGCAGTGACCCTAGTATAGACCCTTAGGACACACCATATTTTATACCATTTTCACTTGAAATTGAGCCATTGACCTCACATCTTTGTGTACGATCAGTTAAATACGACCTAAGTGTAGCCCTGGGAGCCATTAGAAGAATAAATCATATGCGTATAGAATATGTAATCAAGCTGCGAGAGAATAAAAGGCGATAATCAGAGAGACACTGAAGCAGAACGAACGAACTCGTGTTGAAGTAGAACCGATTAAGAAGTGGTCTACACACTGATAAAATAACTTGATAAAGTAAAACGAAAGAAATATACGTTATCAACGTCGCACTTTACATTATATGGGAAAGGTGGATCTTCAATGATCAAATGCTCTGGTATAGTCTTCAGTGACTTGAGCAATACACTACGTGGGTCTTCAATGATCAAACGCTCAGGTATAGTCTTTAGTTACTTGAGCAACACATTCAGCTGTAAACGTGTGAAGACGAAGTTATTTGGAGATCGGTGTAGTGGAATTGAAAGCGGGGACCGTTATCAAAACCCTGGTAAACTTAACGAGCGCTCTGAAAATCGGGATTGTCAGGACTAACTGAAGAAACAACGGGAAGGAACAACTCGCCAAAGGACACAAGTATCGTAGCTTGAGAGACAGTTAACAACAATAGTATAGGATTTACACTGTGATAGTTTTAGTTTTTAGTTATATCAAACAAATTATAGAAAAATATATGTAAATTTTTTTTTGTATATGAAGTTATATTTGCCGACACCCACACAGGCGGATTTAAATTCGTCACACTAAGCAGTAACAATGCATTTCCTGTGATTCCAACATGCATTAAGTTTTTCTAATAAGATTCATGGTCAACAGTATCGAAAGCTTTTTTTAGGTCTACAAATACAACCAAATTGAACAAATAGAGCTGAGGCAGTTGAATGACATTTTCTGAAACCATATTGATGCTGAGAGAGTAAGTTGTTTGCAGTCAAATATTCATAAAGTTGAGTATATAAGATGCGCTCCATAACTTTACTAATGGAAGGTAAGACAGAAATTGGTCGATAATTTCCTGGCAAGTTTCGTTTGCCGTTCTTGAAAAGGGGAATTACTCTTGCAATTTTCCTCTCATGTGGAAAAATACATAGGGTAATTGCTTGATTAAAAATGCAAGTCAATGAATCAGAAATGAATGGTGCTGCAATATTAATTATCTTGCTTAGTGATATTTTATCTAGGCTAGTAGCTTTTCTACCAGATAGTTCATGTAGTAAAAGGCAAACATGGTTTACAGAAACTTATTTGAATGCAGTTAATTCAGGATTAGTTTTGTCAAGGTAGTCTTTAAAATGGCATTCTGTTGAACCAATTTTTTCAGCTAAATTTGGTCCAATATTTGCAAAAGAAGTTGTTGAAGCCCTCAGCAACATCATTGGGGTGGGGG